TCTATCCAACGGTGCCAAAACGAATTCTGTGGCTCAAATGGTTCTTGAGAAACCTCGAAAGAAGCAGCGTCATGTTCAAGTGGATTTTGCAACTAAAAAAAGCATTTTTTGAGAAAACTGCCAACATTTCCCCATCCATGGTTCACTTTCTTAAAAGGCCATTTATTTCTGTCTGGAATTATGTACAAATGAGCGTTCTTGCTCATTTTGCCTCCGAGAAATGAGCAAAAATGGGACGGAAAACATGGAATTTTGGCATCATCTTGCACCTAAGTGTGTGATATTCAAATTTCGCTTTCTGGGTCAAAACTACTTGAATTTCTTCACTCATGTTGTTATGACTGAATCGAGTTTTCAATCCTCTATCCCACGATGCCAAAACGAATTCTGTGGCTCGAATGGTTCTTGAGTAACTTCGACAAAAGCAGCGTCATGTTCAAGTGGATTTCGCAACTCAAAAAAAATCACGCAATTCTAAAACTTCTTCAATTCAAGCATTTTTTAAGAATACTGCCAACAATTCCCCATCCATGGTTCACTTTCTAAAAAGGCCATTTATTTCTGTCTAGAATGATGTAAAATGAGCGTTCTTGCTCATTTTGCCTCCGAGATATGAGCAAAAACGGACGGAAAACATGAAATTTTGGCATAATCTTGCACCTAAGTGTCTGGTAGTCAAATTTCGCTTTCTGGGTCAAAACTACTCGCATTTCCTCACTCACGTTGCTACGACTGAATCGACTTTTCAATTCTCTATTCAACGATGCCAAAACGAATTCTGTGGCTCAAATGGTTCTTAGGAAACCTCGAAAAAAGCAGCGTCATGTTTAAGTGGATTTTGCAACTCAAAAAAAAACACGCAAATCTAAAACTTCTTGAATTCAAGCCTTTTTTGAGAAAACTGCCAACATTTCCCCATCCATGGTTCACTTTCTAAGAAGGCCATTTAGTTCTGTCTAGAATGATGTACAAATGAGCGTTCTTGCTCATTTTGCCTCCGAGACATGAGCAAAAACGGGACGGAAAACATGAACTGAAAACTCAAACTTCCTCACTAACGTTGTTACGGCTGAATCGACTTTTCAATTCTCTAACGAACGATGCCAAAACGAATTCTGTGGCTCGAATGGTTCTTGAGAAACTTCGAATAAATGCCATTTAGTTATATCTGGAATGATGTAAAAACGAGCGTTCTTGCT